TGTTCATTTTGGCATCAATAATGACTCCAAGATCCTTTTCTGCCTCTGCACTGACGAGAAGGGAGTTCCCCAGCCTGTAGGTATGCTGCTGGTTCTTCCTCCCCAGGTGCAGTACCTTGCACTTGTCAGTGTTGAACCCCATCCTGTTCTCATCTGCCCACCCCTGTAACCTGTCTAGGTCTGATTGCAGCCTATTCTACCCTTCTAGTGTGCCCACTTCTCCCCACATCTTAGTGTCGTCTGCGAATTTGAACAGGGTGCTTTTTACACCCCCATTCAAGTTGCTGATGAAGATATTGAACAGTGCAGGTCCAAGAACTGAGCCCTGGGGGACCCCACTGCTCACATCCCTCCAGGTCAAAAATGACTCATCCACCATCACTCTCTGGGTGCGGCCCTCCAGCCACCTAGTGACCCATTTGACTGTGTAGGTGACAGTTCAAAGGACCTCTCCTCTCCTCTCCACTGCTTTCCCCTGCCAGACTAAGTTTTACTCAGGATGGGCATTTATCCATTCTTTTATTTTCCTTTTTTACTCAATTATTACCATATAAGTACTCATATTTAGAATTAAATGGTAAAAAGTATTCTGAGAAATATTTGTATATCTGATATGTTACCAATATACCGTGCAACTCAAATAACCATTTTTCCTCCTTTTGGCTGGACTCGATAATCTTCCAAGGTCCCTTCCAGCCCTAATGTCTGTGAAATCTGTGACCACTGTGAAGTTGTGATTTATCAAATTATTTTTCAGACAGCTGGGATTTCTAAGAATTCTTGAGTCTATGTAACAATGAGACAGTAAAACTGTTGTTAATGACCTATTTTTTGTGTTTAGGTCTGGAACCTCTCTCTCCAGAGATCCAATGTGTTTCTAAATTCAGTGATTATTTACAAAAGGTAAAGTCAAAGAGCAACATAAATCTGGTATGTCTAGAAATGACAGCTTCCTAGTTACACACACATCACAGTGAATAATAATTGAAAGCACTGGGGCTGGTTGTGTGTATACACACAGAATCATACACAGAATACACAGAATCATAAACAGAATCTTTCTTTCTATGTATGAAAAGGATCCAGGTAATATGAAACTAAAACAGATTTTGTAGAAAGATAAGTATGAAATCTGCAGTACTCTTCCCAGAAACTTCTCTACTGGAGTTCCTTGGTGGTGGCATTTTCAGATTTCAAAAGAAGAGCTTTTACAGAGATGCCTCAGTAATGAAAAAAACCATTATTTGTAATATGCTGCTAACTTCTGCAGATGGAGAATATCTGTATTCAAGTTGAATGCCAGAATGTTTTGCTTATATCTATTAAGACTGGGTTTAATCTCTTTTAAAAAGCAGTTTTTAATACAAGAAGGGAATAATATGTAGTTTAGAACAGTGTTCTCCAACCTTTTTTCATTTGTGGACCCCTTTGAAAATTTCAAATGGAGATGTAGACCCCTTTGAATAGTAAGCGTGGGTATTCACATACTTTTGATTGATCATAGTCATCTTTCATATACCACTTAGACATAGTCTGCGGACCTCCAATGGTCGGCAGACCACAGGTTGAAAACCACTGATTTAGAATAAAATACTTGTTTGTGCAGTGAAGGAACACCTGTTTTGATTAGATTGTTAGTGACAATTCCAGCTTTGCTTGTGGTAAACTGCCTCATAAACTTTAATGCATTTGCTGAGTAATTAATGAATAACCCATAAAATTATATGATGCTCAAATTTTCAACAATTTTTTCCACCTGTAGAGGACACCCTGACAGGATGACAAAAAACAGAGGTTTCTGCACCTTACATAAAATTCCTGAGGGTTATGTGCCTGGGAAAATGTTATCAGTTAGTTACACAGATATACTTACCTATGGTTATAGCAGTGTGAACTCACCCTCACATTCTTCTGTGGGGACACTCTTTGTGGGATTCCATTTTCCTTTGTGTACCTAAATTGCACTTACCCACCTGCAAAAGTAGCATTTTTGGCGTTTAACCACAGTTTGCACTTTTGTTACCCAAGCAAAGTGGACATAGAACTGAATACATGTATACTGAACATGTGCTGTAGGCTGCATGCTGGTTGGGCAGATATGCGGTTGTGTGCGCCTGTCTAATGTATATCTAAGTCACAAAATTGTAGTGGGGCAAAATCCCCTCTGTTAGACAGAGGGAAATCCCCTCTGTTAGACAGAGGAGGCGGGGGGGGCCTTACCTGCTTTAGCCCAGATACCTGAGCAGTAAGGGCACCTCTGAAGTAGGAAGCCTGGGTTCTAGAAAGGGGGTTTGAATCTGCATTTTTAATTTTTTTTAAAGCACAGAGCTTTAACCAGAATGCCCCAGGCAAAGCATAATCCAGTCCCCTCTCTAGGTCTCCTTTTGAAGCTGAGATACTCTGTCTTTTATTTACGAGTTATTGGATACAGTGGCTTGAGAACAGTGCAGTGGGGAAGTTTCTTCTCCTTTGGGAGGAAGGATCCAGATGAAAAACCAGGACTTGCTCCCTTCTAAACTAGCAGCCATCTCATCAAGCTGCATACCCCCTGTCTTGCTCTTGTCTTCCTGGCCCCACATAACTTCCTCTCTCATATCTTCTAAACCCAACAACAGCAGGAAGCAGCTACTGGCCTGTGCGAACAGGGAAATGTTTGATTTGGATTCAGATTCAGCCGATTTGGAGGATAGTTATTCAATTCAGTGATTCGAATCACTGTCCCCATTCGATTCGGCTGAATTGGCTTTGAAAGATTTGGCACTGATTCAGAGATTTGGTGATTCGGATTGGCCGGGGAGAGGCAGGCACAGCTGGGCGGCTGTGGTTTCTCCAGCTGTGCTTGCCTCTCCCTGGGTGGGGAGAGCTGTGGGGGAAGCCCCCATGGCTGCCCTGCCCAGCCCCAGCCTTTAAAAAAAAAGCAAAAAAAAAAAAGCCCTGCACTCACTGGCTACAGCAGGAGCAATCAGGGCCTCTGAGTGCTCGTGGCAGAGACCTTCCATGCAGTGGGGGGCAGCAGGGATCTCCCCCCCTACCTGGCACCCACACTGCAGCTGCCCCATGGTGCCTGAGAGCTGAGGCCGCTTTGGCTGAGCGCTGCCGGGCTCTGGGTGACTGCTGCAGCTGGTGAGTGCGTGGGTTTTTTTTAAAGTGCCAGGATGTTCCCCGCCACCCGGTGGGAGGCAGGCACAGCTGGAGGAACCATGGGAGAACCTGCAGCCGCCCAGCTGTGCCTGCCTCTCCCTGGCCGATCCGAATCTCCAAATCTTTTTTGAATCAATTCGGAGCTTTTATTGGGTCTCCCAATTTGATTTGGATTCGGAGATCTGGCCCCTGAATTGGGCCAAATCTCCTCCAAATTGAATTGGCGACCGAAGCTTCACACAGCCCTAGCAGCTAGGTCTATAGTAATGTTGTAAAATGAAATCATTAATTGTCCAAATACTTTTTCTTCCCAGGTGTCTCAAGAGATAGGCAACTCTGAACAATCTCAGTCTCTTTTACAGTGAGTATGATATGCTCTGGATGAATTTCAGTCAGGCAGACTAATTTCCTCTTGTAGCCTCATTTGAGTGCAGTAATTACTCTTGGTCTTAAAGTGAAAAGTAATTTTACTGCTTGCCATTTAACAGGTATACTTAATGCCATAGGTAGCTTTTTGTCACTGGAATAGCTTGTGGAAACACATCACTTAGGACACTTAAAATTAGACGACACAAAACACTAAGAAGTATGCAGTAGAGCATAATTTACTCTCTCTTGCTTGCTTTTAGTCCCACTGAACTATAGGTTTTCTCACACCTAATTATTTCCTTCTGTTGTCATGTTTGTATCCATCACAGGGAAACACCCGGTATCTCCTTTAGCATTCTTATCTTAATGTTCTTGTGTGTCCTTTCACTCTTGTTTCTCATCCCTTAAATTTCCACTGCAGATAGTTTCATGGCCCTTTATCTTTCTTTTCAGCTTCTTTGGCATACTTTTATTACATAAAGTACCTAAAATTGCTTTCCAGTTCTTTCGTTCCCCTCTCTTACTTATGCTGCACAGCTGTCTTCATCATTTAAGTTAGATCGCAGTACTTGAATGATCCTACCTGGTCTCTTTCATTTCCTGTCCTTCCCTATCCTGTTCTTTATTGTCTTGCCATCCCTTTCTGCAGTTCACCATTACTTCTGTTTTCCTGGTATTTATTTATAGTTCACCTTTCTCTAAAATGTTTCTGCCAGTTTTGCGTATCTTTTTTTCTGCAACTCCACTATTGTCCCTGCTATTCCAATGAGATCATCTGCAAATAGTAGCCCCATAAGTTTTTGAATGCCTCATCACTCAGTATGTGTATTGCTAAAATACATGGGAGTGGGCTTGTCACTGAATCTCAGTATAACCTAGCCTTGAACACTTCTGTCCTTCCCTGTGCCATTCTGCCCATTGACTGGTATTGCTGTAGATTACTTCTATAACCCTTTCATAGATTCATAGATTCATAGATTCTAGGGTCGGAAGGGACCTCAATAGATCATCGAGTCCGACCCCCTGCATAGGCAGGAAGGAGTGCTGGGTTCAGATGACCCCAGCTAGATGCTTATCTAACCTCCTCTTGAAGACCCCCAGGGTAGGGGAGAGCATCACCTCCTTTGGGAGCCCATTCCAGACCTTGGCCACTCTAACTGTGAAGAAGTTCTTCCTAATGTCTAGTCTAAACCTGCTCTCTGCTAGCTTGTGGCCATTATTTCTTGTAACCCCCGGGGGCGTCTTGGTGAATAAAACCTCACCAATTCCCTTCTGTGCCCC